GTTTGTGCGGGGAGAAGGGTGCAACAATGGATGAATGGAACCCCAAAATCTCTGTAGATGTTCATTGAAATGAAAAATAAACAACCTAAATTTAAAAAAAGAAAAAAAGTTCAAAATGAAGACCTCCAGGTAAGATGATGATGTAAACAGATATCAGTTCAATCTCTCAATTAAAAAGACAGTTAAAAAAACACCAAACATTGTGAGGGTTTCTGAAGGCACTATGCCTTGTTGACTGTCAGTGTGTGGGTTTAAATGCACTGCTTTGAGGACACTCAGCAGGAAATTAGCTGTAAACAGCTTCCTAGACAAGCATGGAGACAAGTCCCAAGAAAATAGAGTGCTTCTATGAGACCTCATAAAGACCCAGAAGAACAGCTGTGGAAGGCTTTATCAATTAAAAACTAAAGTCCTTCAGAGCTCGTAGAAAATATAGATTAACAAGAAGCTAAGTTTGCAAAAGATAAACTTTTTGTGTCTTTGTTAGAACTATCTGAGGAAATCACTAAAAGCCCTGGTTTCTGAATGCCTGAAGATACATTCCTTTCTGGCCCCAGAGATAATTGTTACATATGTTACTTTAGGGTTTTTGAGATAATTGTTTGCTGTGTAGATAGTAACAGAATGTTTGTATTTTCTATATATGCTGAAAAGAATAAAGCTTTTTGCTTTTGGCTTTTGCCTAAGACCCCTGTGCCTCACTTTCTTTCTCTCTCTCTCTTTGTCTCTCCATGTGTTTTTTTTCCCTCAGCAGCAGTGTGTCCTCAAGTCCCACCAGAAAATGACAACTAACATAATCCTGGAATATCAAGAATTAAAAGAAATAACTAAAGAAAAACACAGAAGGAGAAGACAGATGGAGCAGACACCACACAGCCATTTTGAAGGGCTATTTATTTGCCACAGGAGTCTGGATCTGTGAGGGACCCCACACTTACAGCTACCTTACAGGAAAGGTGTGATATCTCTGTTTGTTCCCCATGCCCTTCCAGAGTTTGGGGTGGTGGCTTTTCCTCACTGTCAGCCAACAGGTTGTTGGCAGTATTCCCTACCTATGGACTGTGATTCTCCAGACCCAAGCACCATTTTGCATTTGGTGCCATAAGGGGGAACCAGCAAATTGTGCCTTGGCTGAGCTACAATTTTCTCCTGGATTAATGAGGACACCACTGTGAGGCAACAAGCTCTTTGCTGAGGACACTGCCCTTGGAAATTTCAAGTCAACCCTAATTACCACTGCCTACTAGCTATAACTGTCTGTGTACCTGTCAACATCCCCCTCCGGAATAGCAAAGTCTCCATCTTTTTATTGTCTCTGGTCTGTGAGATAAGCATTGTAAATCTATTTCTGAGTTCCTCTGCTTTCTCTTGGTCCAGGTGGAGTGACAGGTGAGCAGTATAACAGTAGAACAGACCTCAGGAAGAGCCCCATGGCACACTCCCCAGACACAACCTTCACAGCAGTGTGTTTAGAAAACAGCTCTTTAATCACAGGCCATACTTTCATTCCATTCAATAGGAACAGTGAGACCTCCCAGCCTTTGGCACCTTGGTCTGTGTGGGTGGGAACTCAACTCTCCATTCTGGGTCTCGGGGCTTCTTGAAACACTTGGTGGCAGCAGAGAAGGTGATAGAGGGCAAGGTCAGGCATTTCTCTGCTCAGGGGGAATATACTCCAGGCCTAGGTGTCTAAAGATGTCCTCCTCTGAAGTCGTGGGGAGAGATTTGTTCTGCAACAAGAATAGAGGAGCAGAGGTTGAGAGACAGGTTCTCGGCAGCCCTGCTTCCACCACGGCATTAGGAGCCACTAAGGCTATGAGGCTGTGAGGTAGGCAGAGCTGAGCCATAGCCATCACTGTCCTCACAGGAGAAACCTGGAGCAGGAACACAGACACCTAGGTTCTAGCCCAGGTCTTTGGATGGAGGGTCCTGGCACTTAGTTTTAGATCTGCTTCCTTGTAGGCTCACAGGCCATAGCTTTATACCTGCTTTGGGTCACAGAGTGTGTGGCTGTTTAACCAAAGTCCCTTCTCCTTCCAGCTGAACCAGCGCAGCTCCCGTTCAAAATGCTGATAAGACAAGACTGGCAGGAGCAGTCCCCGCAGGGCCCGCCCTCTATCGCGCACTGCCACCTTGGAGCCAGTCCAGCAGAGCAGGCCAAAGGGGAACTGGCTGACCGGAGTCACCACCAGGTCTACCCTCACAGCTTTCCAGGCTTGACAAGTTTTCTGGGACCCCTCCACAGTCACTCCAGGGAGCTGTGGTAGACAGAAAACACAGAAACACTTCTGAAAGGCATCCATCCTGGGCTTTTGCCATGCCAAGTGGGTAGGATCCCCACGGCAGCTGTGCTGATAGATATGGTACAAGAGGAGGCCCTGGGGGAGAGCAAGGGAAGAACCGGCAGCACTGAGGAGCACTAGGAGAGGGGAGTTGGGGCCTGCTGCAGGCACTGCCCAGCATCTCCTACTGGCCACTCCCATGACCTCAGGCCCTCACCTGGTTCTGCAGGCTGCCCACCATGCTGCCCAGCAGTGCCCCCTCCTGGCCTTCCTGAGGGTGATAAGTAGGTCCACGTCCTGGCCCTGCAGCTTCCCCCTGAAGTGGACAAGGCTTATTGTGGTGGTGACTGGGGACACAACATGTTACATATTCCCTCCAGCCTGGGCTTCTGAGTAAAAGAGAATACTGCCTTGGTTCTCCCCAGCCTTCTTCACTAGGTGGTCTGGAAAGGAGTCAGGAAGGGCTGTTCAAGGGCTCTCTTACCTCCGGAAGCCACCAGCCAGTGTGACTGTGGCACCAGGCAGGATCTGCTGCACAGACAATTCCACTGTCCAACACAGAGCCTCTGCATCCTGCCTCTGCATCCTGCCTCTGCGCTGGGGTGCTCAGGTCCTGGTAGTGTTGCAGCCCTGCAGACGCCATCTCTGCTGAGTTCCAGCATGTGACCTGACCTGCCTCAACATATCCTCCCAGGCACACTCACTAAGGGGAATACCACAGAGCCCAGGCCAGGGAGACAAAGGTAGGCTACTGGGACCAGAATGAGGCCCTGGTCTACGAATAACACTATACCCTACATTGAGATCATTGTAGATTCACCTGCAGATGTAAGAGATACTGTTACACCAAGTTTCCCCCAGTGGAAATATCATGCAACATCACACCACTGCCAGTTCCAACAGTCAAGACACAGATTCTCCCTTTGAATGTCTCAGTTTTTTCAATAAGATTGGCACAGGATAGAGCAGGGTTTAGGGTTGTTGTACATTGTCAATATGAGTCACAGGCAACTTGACGGCACATAATAACCACCACAACAATTTTATCTAAATAATTATGTCATATAATTTCTTTTTGTAGGCCAAAGCTTTTTATTAGAGTGTAGGAATGAGAAGAAAAATATGAGGAGGCAGAAGTGAAGATAAAAAAGTAAAGACAGATTTATCAGAAAGTCACATTCCAAAGGGACAGGTCTCCCAACTTGAAAGGAAATATGAAACAAAAGCTATGTCACATAATTTTAACTACATATTATAATATTATTTATAACACCATCTAAGAAAATGAAATGCCTAAGAATAAACTTATGTAAAGCACATTATAATATATGTTGTTGTTGTTATGCACTGTCAAGTTGAAACCAAATCATAGCTGACCCTCCAGGAGTTTTCAGTCAATTAATTGCATGAGAGGAGACTGCTCTCATCCTCTCATGGAGCTGCTGGGGAATTCAAAACACTACTGAAAGAGATTAAAGAACATTTACATGAGAGGAAAGGATGCCTCATGTTCATGGATTGGAAAACAATATTTGTTAAGATGTCAGTGCTGCAAAAATGATGTACAGATCCAGTGCAATGCAGGTCAAGATTGCAACTTTCTTTAGATAAATAAAAAAATAAATCTAAATATAAATAATATATATGTATTATAGTTTTATACTATATTTTATAGATTATATTGTATATATATTATATGTATAATAAATATAAAAATGAATCTTCCATTTTATATGGAATGACAAGAGGCCCTAAATGTTAAAAGAGAACAAAGTAGTATTCACACTTCCATACACCACCAGAGCTCCCCAGTATAGACATCAGAGATCTGCAAATAATGACAGGAACAGGCATACCTATGTTCACTGCTACTTTATTTATAACAAATACAACTTAAGTATGTATCAGCGGAAGAATGTATAAGCAAATTTTTCTATCTTAAACAATGGAATATCACACAACTATAAAGAGTAATGATGAATCAATGGAACATGATGGAACCAAAAAATATCAAGTTAAAGAAAATAAATCAAGTATATAAGAATAAATACTGTATGATTCCTCTCTCGTAAGAAAACAAGAATAACTATATAGAGATCAGTGTTCATTGGTGGTTACCAGAGAGACAGAGGAAAGGGAAAAGTATGCCAAAGATTGTACAGACTTATTATTGGAGGATTTTTGTTTTTTTCTTTTAAGAATGGAAATAGTGACTCTGAATGTGGATGCAATGACAATAGCGCAAAGCACAAACAAGTGTCCAAGTGTGTGGATGGGTATGAACATACTGTTATACAGGTAGGTACAGGTGTATATATAGATGAGCACAGACAGAAGTATCTAGTAAAACCAAGAAATTATCTCATAGTGACTCTATAGGACAGGGTACAACTCTCCCACAGGATTTCCTAGGCTGTGCTCTGGTGGCAAGAAGCTGCGCTGTAATCCTGAAAGGCACACAATTCAAGTCCATCAGCTGCTCCGCGGGAGAAATATGGGCAATCTCCTGTGTGATTAACAGTCTCTGAAAACCCACCAGAGTGTCAGCTATGGGTTGGTTCTGACTCTGTGGCACACAAGAACAACAACAATCTTTACAGAAACAGACTGCATGCCTTTTTTCTAAAGAGCAGACAGTGTGTTTTAATTGCTAACCTTTCAGTTAGCAATCAAGCACTTAATCACTGTGCTACCAAGATTCTTAAAAGTATCTGTAATTTATTAAAAACTCACTGCACTTGAGTTTAAACCAACTCACATTTGACCCTCCAGCAGGTTTTCAGAGGCTCTAAATTGCACAGGAGGTTGCACACCTGTCATTCACAGTTTGTGGATTCAGACTTTCAGTTAGCAGTGCAATTCCCTACCCACTAAACCATCAGAGATCCCTATTAGTCTGTATGATTATTATTGTTAGGTGCTGTCTAGTCTAGTCTGACTCATAGCAACCCTATGAACTGGTGACCTGAGCCCTTCCCTATAATGTGCAATCCTCATCATCTCTGACACACTAGAGCCCAATGCTGATGTCACCATGTCAATTCATCTCATTGGGGGTCTTTCCCTTCTTCACTGACCCTCCAGTTTTCCAATCATAATGTCCCTTTCCAAGGAATAGTTTTGCCTAGCTACATGTCCAAAGTATGAAAGCCAAAGCTTCACCATCTTTGCCTCCAAGAAATACACTGGCTGTACTTTTTCCAAGACATAACTTTGGTTTTTTGACAGTCCATGGGATATTCAGTACTCTTCTCCAGCACCACAACACAAAGGCATCAGTTCTTCTGTCATCTGTGTCTCTATTAGCCTGGAGGAAAACAGTAAGGAAATAACCTAAAGCTCAGTACATTCTCATCTGCCCTGACAACAAACCACTGAGAATAAGTGGTGCCCAGATACCACCACTGACTCATCTAACTGGGTTCATAATACATGGTCCCAGATAGAATGGCAGAATTAAAATTCTTCATTTGAAAAAAATGGACAAAGTAGGACATTAGAGAACAGACAACTCTTTGAGACTATCCCTTTGAAACACTTTTAAACCCAGAACTAAGCATATCCCATGAGATTATTTTTAAGCAAAACAGCAGAGAGGCACATAAAATAAAGGAGTGGTGTTCTACTTAAAAACTTAAAAACTACCATAAGAGTGGTGTTCTACTTAAAAACTATCATTTTAAGACCAAAACAATAACAGTTGCTCAAAAGCAGAGATAAGGAGCTAAACTGTCATGGAAAGTAGAGTACTGGAAATGGAACAAAAAGAGCACCATTAAAGAGACGGTTGATATGGTTGATATATTATGATAATTGTAACTAACATCATTGTCATGAGTTGAAATGTGTTCCCCCCAAATACCCATGAAATCATGTAAAATAGAAGTTAAGTCATGATTGCCTGATAACCCAAACAATTGTAGAAAAGTTAAGGGTGGAATGCAGCACCCTTAATCCCACCCTAGGCACATCTACTGTACAGGGAGTTTTCCTGGGGTGCTGCCTGGGTCACCTTGCATACCTTCATCGTCTGATATCTCTCAGAGCCCCATAGTCTCTCCACTTCCTCACATACTCCATGTTCCAGTGTCTCCTGTGAGAGGGAAACAGGGTATGTCTAGCACCATGGCAGCTTGATGAGGAGAAAGACAAGAACAGCATGTCAGGGAGAGGCTGGGCCCAAGGGCTGTGGCATCCTCTGCCCAGTACCCTGTATAGGGGACCTGTGTGACTTCTGGAAACAGAGGCCCTGGACAGCGGGAAGTTGTGCAGGGAGAATGCTGTCCCATTTGGAGGTAGTGAGAAGGGAGAGACAGAAGCTTTATCTAACCTTCCAGCCTCAAACTCCCTTGGGCCTGGAGTTACAGGTGACATGAATCACAAGGCCCACAGGATTCGAGCACTAGTCAAATGGGTGTGATAAACTCCACACACAACTGTATTTCAAAGTATAAGAAGTATCTTTGTAATGTTGTTGATGTCCTTGTTTCTATAATTATATTTTATTAATTTTCATAAACATTTACAGAGATTTTGGGCTTCCACTCATTCATTGTTGCACTATTCTCTTTACCCTCCTCCCAGTTTGTTCTTGTCCAAATGCCACAGTGCTTGTCAAAGCCAGTTCTGATTAATCTTCTT